TTTTCGTCATTTCCGCAGATTCCGCATTTCTTCATTTCTGCATTTCTTCATGGTCGCAAGCTATGAACGCGGCCTAACAGGTGGAGAACGGGTTTGGCATCGCGCCAAACTCATCCCGTCTGACACGCCCAACCGTCCGCAGCGAACTACACTATAAGGCATGGTGCGGTGTACGGTGCAGCTAACACGCCGCAATTTCACAAAAGCTAATCCAGCAATCTGCTACCCCATACTCTTCTCCCCGTCTCTGGTGTGGGCGCTGTCGTACTTTATATCGATGACTATACCTTCCTAGTCGCTGGCGCTGGCATACGCTCGAAACGCTGACGCAAAGTATGAACGAAGCCTCAGCGCTGAGTTGGCCAGCGTTTCGCCAGAGCGTTCGACGATCCTTCCAGTCAATACGCATTCGTTCCTTTCGTTGCCTCTACGATTCGTCAGGGTCGTAGACTGTGGACAGTTTCTTAGCCAAGTTCATCACGTTCATAACTTGTGACCGTGAAGAATTGACGAACAAGAAATGCAGAATTGAAGAATTGAGCAACTGACGAATTCCGGAAATAGATCAATACCTACAGTCCTTTTTGTAAGATCTGCATTTCTGCAATATTTCTATTCTGTATCTCCGCACTTTTTCATTTCTGCTCTTCTTATACCTTCCTGATGCTTTTCTCCAATTCTCATTCCTGCGATTCTGCATTTCTTCGTTTCCGCATTTCTTAAAATCGATACTTATCTAATGCTTTTCGTCAACTCTGCATTTCCTCAGCTCGCAAGCTATGGAGGTGGCCTTCGCGCCTGCGGACTTTGCGATCAGATCGCTCCGAGTGAGGTTTGAAAGACCATGTCGAAGTAATTCTCAGAACAACAGGAAATGTGTTGAACAGGGAAAAAGAAGGGCGTCCTAGAAAGACCTCAGAATCACCTTGACATGTCATGATAAAGAACATTTGTACCCTGAACCGAGAGTAGTAGGACGCGTTCAGGTGCATACACACTGTACTAACTTTCTTTCATTGAACATCCTCGTAAAGATGGAGCATGAAACCCTTAAAACCAAATACTCCAAGAAACGAATTTATGTAGAATAGTGAACACTTCTCTCCTCAGGTTACCGATATCTATAGCGACCTCGAGATTGAACTTCGATGCATAATGAGGAAAGCGCCACTAATAGAACGAAATTAACGAGCAATTGTTATCCGTCGTCGTTGACGGACGGAATTCTCGCGCCATCTCCGTAAACGCGTACTTTCAGCGGTATCGCACGTTCTTCTATCGATTATCATGACCATGTTAGCTGGTCTGATTGTTGAACGACGTGGCGATTTCTTCACTGTCTACAGGTATTCATCCTGTTACATGGCATGTTGAAGTAAGAAATAAGTATCGTACATTCCAGCCACTCAGGAGACTATGAAATCAGTGTCGCTGAGTGCAGTGATAGTTATGAAGTGGGAAGCTGGCTTGGGTGTCTTCATAAATAAAAATAAAGTCGAGGATCATGGTTTGCTTGATCGAGACGACCCTGCCTCCCAAGTTCGCCCAGTTATGTGCAGGACAGAGCGCCAGGTTGACAGCTCATGTTCTTCCATTTTCGAGGAAACTGTTCCATTGTCACTCGTGAAAGCTTACTGTTCGTTGTTTGATTTTTTGTGATAGCTTAAACGTAGATGGCAGTACACTAAAAATATTGTATAGCTGTTCGTTCCGAGAACCGGTGCTTCCTTTTTCGTCCTGGAGATTTCAAATCTTCTGCCCAATTAATGAGAATGTCCACATACCTTGTAATTACTCCTGTGATCTTTTAGCCAGATCCTATCCGCTCACCACTATGTTTAGCCTATAATTCTAACTTTAATGATAGCTCGCTATACCTCTGTGCTTTGGCTCTTGTGACGCGTAACCGTACCTCCTAGCACTCCGATCGTATCGCGATTCCCCTCGGCATTACGAGCCAGCCCATTACCGCCGCGACTTTGATCAACCTCTTGCTCCTCTCAAGATCAGACATAGGTGGGCCAGTCGCGGCCGCTCCAAACTTGCCCTTCACCCGTCCATCACGTGCATTCGTATGCTAAACTCAGCAATGCACATTTCAAAATAATCGTTTGCAATATCGTATCATAAAAAAAGTATACTGTCATAACTAATTCTCTTTTCTACCCGCTGAGGTTATAGAACATACATGTTTTAGCTTTTATCTAATCTATGTGCTCGCACCTCAACGAATCGAAAGCTATCACTGTCGCTGTTTTTCTTATGGTCCGCTGCTTCAAGAAGACATTATTCATCTTTAAGCGTTCAGCTCCACCCAGTGGTGCTTACTCCATAGTGCAGGTGTCCGCAATTCGATAAACCAATTTCAACCCTTTTACTTTCATCTCCCTTTGAGACGCGACTTTAGTCCTACCTCCTCCGATATCCTAATCACATGGACTTCCATCACACACCTCTCAGCATTCTCATTGGCACTTAATTACTCTCCTTGTGTTTATTCAGCATTCTCGCGAGCGACTCTCGGAAAGTAGATGCTGGTCGATCTGGCTGAGCCACACTGTGAGCGTTTTCAAGCTGATTGTTTCAGAGCTTTCGCGGGCTCTATGCTTGACAGTGCTGGCTGTCACGCCCGAGCTCAGTCACTGATCCGATACGCATCCAGCGCACATTCGCTAGCGTCCGACTTTCGATTCCCATGCTAAAACACGCTCAGTGCAGCTTCAAAATGCTGATCGTCAAGTAGTGACATGCACATGCTCTGGTCCTTCCTTGCCCTCTTCCCCAAGTTACGTTACTCAGCTTTCCTGTCTATGTTGGCCACGTTCATGATCACTTTCTTGCAAAGAGTCCAACACGGGGAGAGCCCAGAAAGTTGCGGAAGGACTGGACACGTGTTAATAACTAACACCTCTAATGGAAAACAGATATAAAATCAACACATTGCGGTCTCGTAGACAGCTGAATCATATGGATCCAGTCACTTTGACGGATTCGATTTCGGTATTTCTACGCTGAGTGTGAACACTGTGACGGATTCGATTTCGGTATTTCTACGCTGAGTGTGAAACACTACTTTGTTTCACGCAAATTATCGTCACTTATCACTAATCGAAAGCTCCGCTTGTTATCCTAGAGCAGGATTTGCTCTGAATGTTCGCTAGTCAATCAAAAGTTGTAGAATGTTATCATCTTTATATGACAAAGTGATATAGCGCAGATTCCGCCTCGGACGGCATACTAGTTAGCAATTGGGGAGAAATGACGATAATTCTAATATGACGAATGTTTCGGATTATTGGTGTAGACTTGGTGTAGAAATACCTGAGTCAGTCTTTCAGAATGAGCCGCAAAGGTATCTTTGCTGGTGATCGTTCAATATCATGTTGTGTTGGCACTTGCTATCCCCTAATTGTCCTTATTTCCTGAGAGACGGACATTCTTAATATTGAGATAGGTGTAAAGGTATTTCAGGTCTGGCGAGCGTTGTCCAATCTCTCGATCGGTGTGCAAAACCAAAGAGTTTGGTTGCATTCCCCTTCTCTGCCATCTGCCATCAAGTGTGTCTCCATCAGCTGTCGTTCAAGTTTGGGCAAGAAGGTGAGTTACGTGAGATTTCAAGATACTATTCTAGGGTCAACTTTGAGGAATAGTCATTTAGAACAGTTTCTTTCCATGTATTCTCACTTGTTTTTTCTTTTGAGTCACAATCGTGCGACATTCGAACTGATGACTTTCTCCAGTGCGTCAAAAAGCGTCAAAACATTGTTTTCGAGTTTTGTTTGCGTTGCTTACACAATGTGGCACCTAAGAAATAAACAATGCAAGTGCTATTTTTACCATGTGCCCTACATTGGAAATCGTAATTACTTCAGATGGGATGGGGGGGGGGGGGGAAGCTCCGCCGCAGGTGTAGACTCAACTTTCTCGTTTCATTACACCTTTGAGAAAGAAATCCTATCTTTGGAATTTTTCCTATCTCGTTTCTTAACCAACAAAGACGCCCTGTCAGTGTCATTTGTGCCGCTATATCTAACTTCCTAAGGGATGCTATGAATGAAGAACTCACTTGATCGTCTAGAATCCGCACAATTTTTTTGAAGAAAAGAATCTCTACCTTGTAGAACATGACATGAGATTGGATGAGATGTTAGGTCGGCATCTACTGTGCTTGTTGTTACGAAAGGGAGGAAAAGTTTCAGCATATGATGACTGCTGTTTTATAGTCGTGCTCATCTCGTAAAGTTGCGCCACTACATTTATACGGCGCCTCGGAGCCACTTACCCTCTCATTGTCACTTCGGAAGAAAAAGTTTCCCTATAACACTCTCAACTGCTTCTGAGACTGATATTCGTGGAGGCAATTGCTCCACGGATATCAGTCTCAGAAGCATGAAGAGGAATTTGACAGTGGCTTCCTTGACATGGTCTGATGGCCTCAAACAGCCTATGGCTTTTCTTCAGTAACAGTACATGCCCCAATTAGTCTCGTTCGCTGCGGATGCTGAGGCGTGTCAGAGGGGGTGGATTTTGCGCGGCGCCAGCCCTTTCTCTGCTGTTGTTAAGGGGGGGGGGGGGAGAAGCGATAACGACTTGGACGGTGGAAAACGGGCTGGTGGCGCGTCAAACCCAGCCGCCGATGCGGGCCTGCATCCGCAGCGGGTAAAGCTGTATGTTTTTAACAAAGGTTTAATATGCGATCCTACTGTTGACCTACAAATTTTTCTGCCACTAAAAAGATCGGGGGCGTTCGAAGAGCGAATGACGGGTTGCGCCTGATGGCGGTACTTGAATGGTTGACCTATCTAACACGTTCCTAACCGGGGCGAAACGATTCTGGTGGAACTGAAGAAAAATGATGAAATGATGCGGAGATGCGCGCAGTACGACGGTTCGCAATCTGTTAAAAAGAATGTTGGCGTAGATCGGTGAAAGTACACAGCCAACTGTTTCCTCGTCGGCTCTTTAAGAAATGTTTCCCTCGTGTACGACTTGGTATGTCCATGAATCGGTCAATCATTCGTGGAGGTCTGAGGCTACATTTTAGGCTTACTACGAGCGAAAGATTGGAGTTTCCCGGCCTGTCGTGGGGAGTCACCGAAATTGTTGCAATTTTGCGCGAAGCCCAGTCTCCCTCATCCTCCCGCAGCACTCCTGAGGCTGATCGTGAGGTTCGTACGGTTTCGTGTTTCAAGTAGTTCTGTTTTTTTCTGGTCAACGCTTTTTATGTTTTAAATGGTGTACTTTCCGAGTGAGACCGAATAACATTTGAAACAGGTGGAATTAGAAAACTTTAGAAAAGAAAATTAAAGTAATCTTATAGTTGCTGTTGTACAAAAGAAAATGAATAGTAAACTAATTGAGGTATCAGTTGTCTTAAGGATGACCGTCAATTACACCATTCCCGCTATGCTGACAGGCCAACGCCAAACAGACAAACAGAGCGAATGCTTGCTGATTCGGAGCGCAGCTTTGAAAAGGTTGGTTTAATACGAATCTGAGTGTATAAAAGAATTATTCGTTACTTACACTGCATCTTGTGCTGTATTAACAGCATCGACGAAGTGTACAGATGGTGATATGGACCCGAAGTTCCTGGAATGTGAAGATCGATATTTTATTCGCGGACCCTGGGTTGAAAGTGAACGCTGACGATTCCATCGGCCAGCGATTACATCGTGGAGAATATTCTCCCTTCATGTCGTTGCCCGTACCTTCTTGTACTTCGTACTGCTACAGGATTGGGTGCCTCCACACGGAATCGAAGGGCGTTGGAAAAACTCTCGCCTACTTGGAATGGAAGGGCGTTGAGTACCTGAAGAAGACAGCTCAAGTGTGTCACCTGACCTAAACCCCCTCAATTACCTGGTTCGGGCGGAGCTCAACAGGGTGGTCTACAGTGGCGGAGAAATCAACGATCTCGCTGAACTCAGGCACCGAATCACGGTCGCGTGGCAGAATCTCTCGATGGCGCTCGTCCAGAAGTGGCGGAGTATCGTGATAGTGTACAATGTGTTGTTGAACATGGTGGTGGAAATGTCCAGTCAGAATTTGATGAAGTGTAACTTATAGCGCCTTGAAAGTCGAGGAAGAAAAGTGTTTTTTCTTATTGCATCCACCCCTTATATTGGAACTGTTCTCCTCACAAGTAACATTTCGCTCGGATAGTTCCAAAACGCCAAACTACCAGATTCTCATTAGTGGCCAGCTATTAGGTTGTTGAGGATGACAGTCGAAATAGCACAATTCGAAACCGGAGCATCTGATTTTGAAAGCCCTCCTGTGTCACAGATTTCAAACTTTTGAAATTGCTACTGATACACGTTCTCCTTTTTGAACCAATCTTCACTTTATAATAAGTTTTCATTTCTAACTAAAAATGTAGTATTCTGGAGAGTATACGGGGAGGAACATCAAGAAGTTCAAAAACAAAGCTGTTAAAAACCCTGGGTTATCAGGGTCAAGATGTTCTCAGTCACTAATGTTACCCGCCAGGGTTTTCTTCTACGATTTCCTGTCTAAATCGCTCGTTGACGACGTCCCTTACTTGCCCCTCAGGTTATAACCCGGGAAGCAATTATAGGCGTAATCAGTGAACGATTTGCTGAGAGAATCGAGCTTCAGAGCATGCTCTCTCACAAACACCAGTTGGCGATCATTGTAAAATGTTTCCACGTGGTGCGTGTGGTGCGTCTGATTACCAAGAACCGTTGGCTAATGTTCTCAATGAAAATCTTCTATCGAAAAAGCTAAAAAGTACCGCTCCTACGTTAACCAGAAATGCTAAACAACTGCATATATAGCTGGCTTTTTTTATTTCATGCGTACTCATTACGATGAGGAAATACAAATGCTCCTTCAACTGTTGTTTTTCCTCCCATTGCACTAAAGCTTTGATACAGTCCCTTCAGAATGCCGATGATCCAGTCTTTCGCAGAAAGATTTAGAATTACTAAACAAGCGTTAATGTTCTGGACGAAGGACATCCGTTGGATATATAGGAGATAATGTGTGAAACGAGGGAGAAACAGGGATTTTGTGATCTAATCAGCATGAACTTTCTTAACTCAAAGCCTCAATTTGATTGTAATGCATTACGACTTCTGTGCTTTGACAGGCACCATATAATCGTTGGAAGCAAACTGGTGGAAACGGCGTCAGATGGTACAGAGGAAATGCTGGAAGACGAAGCCCATCACCTCAACTACAAAGAGGAGTGCCACATAGAAATGACTATGTAAGTTCTTGAGCACACATTGAAACTTTTCTTATGATTGCTTATTACTAGGATTTCGTTCGTAGAATACACCACTTAAGTTTTACTTTGAACGTGGAACCGATTGTTTTATTAGTCACAGACGAGGCCACTAAGCGCGTGGAGAACCTCAAGATGACAAGCATTGTGTGTATTGCCAAAGCAAAGCCGAGCTAATGACAAACCAGCAAGGGATGAGCATGTTGCCGCCGTGTTTTGTTCCTCGTAGGATTTTTGCGGATCAGGACCAAGTAAGGGCAGCATGAAAACCTTCCTCTGATCGTTTTTTGTTAGAAGCTTCTATTTGTCGTAATATGAGCTCCTATTCATACTTGCAGTATACTAAATCATGCTGCGTTGATAAAACTGATTTTGAAGTTCAGGTTAGCTTCGCACATGTTAGCGACCACCGTTCTTCTTTCTGCGACATTTGAGCTTTTTGCGATGTAAAGTGTTTTTCGCAGTGCTTGATTCCGAAATTCGCTCTTACTTTGCGACAGCGCCTACCAGCGACCACCAGTGTCGCTAGCAACCATCAGCGTCTCGAGAGAGTGGGAAAGTATATCGATATCGATCTAGCGTCTACCAGAGTCCACCACGACCAGGAGTAGAGTATGGGGAAGTCGGAGGAGACAGGTGGACCAGGCTTCGGAAAATTGTGCCGCCACCGTACTACTGCACAGTACCGTAATCTGTGGTGGATGCTGGTAGGCACTAGATCGATATCCATACTTTTTAGTCTTTCAAGACGCTTATGATGTCTGGCGGACGCT